TGGGGCCGGGCGAGGCACTTTACTGCTGCTGTCGTGGTTGTCCCAGGCCCCGTCAGAGGGCGCAGTGAGGGGCTTCCCCGTAAAGCTGAGGCAGTGCCTGCCGGGAGGACATGCCTGCCAGTGGGCACAGTGATTGGCATGTGTAGGCGGTGAGGAGGAAAAGGCCTGGCCCACTACCACAACCGTTTGCAATGCCCCAACGTGTTCCTGCCCGCCAGAATCTAGCCTGTCAGCAGCTCCATTGCACGTCAGCCCTTTGTTCCCATGAGGAACTGCTCTCTAAATGTAGAAGCGTTTTCCCTCTTCCATTGTCTTCCTGTTGTACTTCTTCTCCAGTAGGGCAGCCCGCTTGGCATAGTCAGTGGGGCTCTCTCTCACGGTCACCCTTTCTGCTGAAAGTGATATGGCACCTTCAGCTCGCTGTTGACAGCTAGCATAATCTCATGCCTTTCATGTACTCCTCCCCCCGCAGTTCCAGGGGGCTTCGCAGACCAATGGGGCTCCATCCTCAGAGTCCCAACACCCAGGAAGACGAGCAGTTCCCCGTTCCTTAGTATTACATACTCGCATCGTTGTGCCCCCCAAGGAGGAATGAGGTGCCCCAAACTGAAAAAGAGCTCTCAGAATCTCTACACAGAGTACTCTGCACGGTGAAGATAGTAGCGGGGGCCGAGGTCGTAGATAGAGTGAGGAAAAACGGTAAGGCCGACGAACCTTTGTTGCTCCCTTCACAGTCAGCAGGTGTGGGACCAGCAGTTGGTGCAATGGCTATGTCGCTGGACTCCCACGTAGTCGACTGTGATTCGAGTCCCAGACCCGGTGGCTTAAACTCACGCCAGGTGCATGTGCGTGCTTGCCCAAGATCCTGAGAGGAGAATGGAGGAGAAGGGATAGCGGCGTGGCCATCCCCTCTGGGGGGTGATTTCTCGCTTTCTGTCTCTGTCTCTCCGTCTCTGTCATCCTGGCGAGCGCATGCGCCCTATAGCAAAAACCTCTCAAAAAAAAAAAAAAATCAGCAGGCACTACCTTCAGTCCTACTTGTGCTGTGCCTGCTCAGGTGCCCGAGGAGTTCTTGGGCCTTTATGTCCCTGGGTGAAGGCTGCAGAGTGGGTGTGGAGAGCCAGCACTCCTCTCGACGGGGACGTCAGTGGGAAACTGCTGGTTTCTGAGCCCTAGGATCCCGGCGGGTCCGAATTAGCCATCCAGCATCAGCATGGACGAACCCAGGGCTCAGCTTGGGTGACAGGCCTTCCAGAGGCCGGTGCTGCCGCTCAGCTCCCTGGGCCTTGGCGGGAAGCTGGACAGGCTGGACTTTGATTTCTGCGGTTTCTCAGCTTCTCATCCGTTTTCAGCTCTCCATAGCTCGAGTTGCATATATTTGTAATGAAAGTCACAAGTGAGTGGGTCTGTTTCATTTTTGGGACCTTACATTTATAATAGCCAGTTCTTCAAAAATGCCGTGTTCCTGAGCTCTTCATCATACAGACCTTCTCCTTTCTCTCTGTGTCTTTCTGCCCAGCGGGATCCTCAGACTTCCGTAGTCCTCAGCCACTGTGGGACCTGCCTGTGCCTGCTCTGGGACATCCTGGGGGTTCTGACTCCTGTCACTGCGGTAAGTAGTCCCCTTTGGAGAACCCCCACTGAGTGCGAACTGCAGCTGTGTCTGGAGGTGTCTCGGCAGGCGCCTGCTGGGGCTCCCTCCGTGAGGAGCTGAGGCCCGCTGCCCACCCTTCCATGAACGCTCGCCGTTTATGGTGCTTGAGTCCCCTAGGCCTTGTGGTGTCCTCGCTCTGAAGACAGTGGGGGCATCTCTGCCCATCTCCTGCTGCTCCTCGGGAGCTTCATTCCCTTCTCTTCACATGGACCGTGGTCCCTGAGCTTCGTTCTGCCCCTCTGCTCCCTCTGAGGCTGTCCTGGGCTTCTCTCCTGCCGTCCTCCGCTTCTCTGTCCTGTCTGCGCTGAGATGCCACACTTGCCTTTAAAGCCAAGTGGCTGCCCTAAGTTTCTCTTGCTGAGTTCCAAAGCCGGGACAGCAGCCTTCCATTACAGTGAGCTCCCGGAGGCCTTGTTTTCCGGAGATTATGGACCCCACCGGCCTCTGCAGGCCTCATTCTGATGGCTGCCACCTTCCCAGCGTGTGCATCTTTTCGTCCTCATTTTCTTTTGGGCCTTTAGACTTGAGACCATTTTAACGATTTTCCCCTCGTTGACTCACCCCTAGAGGACAGCACATGTCTTAGGACAGGGATTTGTATCTTTACCTGGTCTGGGCCGCAGTGCAGGATCCTCTGTGAACTGTAGTCTGGGTCTCTGAGTCACGCACACCGCAGAATTGTACATCATTTCCACACACAGCTGGGAGGTGAGACAGGACGAAACCCTGTCTGGTGATGGCCAGCCCCCAGGGGGAGCCTCCGACTTCTCATCCTTTCTCCCCCGCCAGAGGCTGATTCTCAGACTCTGGGATCCTCCTGCCCTGACTCCTCTTTTCCATGGCTTCTGTCCTGGGAGTCTGGCTACTGTGCCCAGTTAGAAGGTGAGCCCGCGTGGGTGTGGGCTGGCTTTCCTTTTTCCTGGCCCTGTGGGCCCAGAGTGCTGAGACTGGGCTGCTCCTGAGCAGACAGGCCTGGCCAGCTCGGCTCTCCTTCTCCCACGGGCAAGGGTGGTCTCTTGGCAACTGCCCTGTTTGGAAGCTGGGGGTGAGTGTGCCTTGCCGTGATGATAAATGCTCTTCTCCTTTCTGGCTCCTTTCTCTCCTCTGCAGACTTCTTTACCATGGGTGGTAGGGCCAGAGATTCAGGGCTAGTGTTCTCTGAAGTCCTCTTCCTGCCAGTTCATACTTTGGCCTCAAGTTCAAGGTTGCCGCTCGTGTAGTGACCTAGTCTGCTGTGGGTGCTGCGTTGGGAGTTGGAGCCTCAGCTCAGCCACGCGTATGTCTCGCTCAGTCCTCTCAGCACCCTACTCCTAGGCAGGCTCGCCATACCCTGGGAGTTAAGGATGTCCGGCGGGACCCCTGGCCACCCCGCCGCCAGCCATGAGCAGCGTATTTTTCTGGAATGACACCGGGTCAGGTTGTCTGGTTGCTGGGTCTCGTCACCTGGGAGTCTAAGCAGAGGACAGCTGCTCTGTCCACCCCTGCAGGCGTCCACCTCGGTCTGTCGCCAGTGGCAGTACTGCACTGCAGTGGTGGTCCTGGTTTACGTGGAGACCAGGAAGTACAACGGTGGTTTCCAGGGGTGGGAGTGGAGCGGGGAAAGGGTTCACCGAGTGGGGACGGTTGAGCTTTGCAGGCTGGAGAAGCGCCGGAGGCCTGTTCACGGTGGTGTATGCATATCATCGAGCCACCATATGCTTGTAAGTAGCCAAGAGGGTGACTTCTGAGTTTGTGTTTTTTTCCTATTAATACAATAAAAATGCACAAAGGAGAGCCAGGATTCCAGATTCGTGACATTTTGACCTGCTTGCTACTGTGGCCAGTCTCCTCCCAATGTGGCTAAGGACAGTTCTGCTAAATACCCAGGTGCCTCTGTCCAGGAGGCAGACCCAGCCGCGGTGCCCTTCCCTCTGCTGTGTAGCCGGGCCCCTGTGCACTTCAGGCCTAGCTTTTGCCTTCCTGAGAATGGCCTGAGCCGCCGGTCTCTGTTCCTTCTCCTGGGCCCAGACGCGGATTTCGTCCCTTTGGCTTTATTTCTCCAGCAGTGGAAGGAGGAAGCGGGCTTCGCATGCGAGGCATTCTCACTGTGCCTTAGCGCTGCCCGCCCCAGGCCTCCGGCCTTCCTGCCCCGGCCCTCCCTTTCCCAGCTGCTGCCCGGCTCCAGAGCAGGAGGTCGCTGCCCAGTTGTGCAAAGCTGGACTCAGCTGAAGGGAAGTGACAAGAGAAGGCAGCCTGCAGGAAGGAGTGACTGATGTGACAAGGTTCTGTTGTCCCGATGTGCCCTGACCCTTTCTCGTGTGTCTGGAGCACCCCGAGGACAGCATGGGTCCTGAAGCAGTGGCCATCCTTGCGTGGGGGTAGGAGGCTCTGCGTGACTAGCAGCAGGCCCCCTTCCCATCCCACGGCTGAGCACAGTGAGCTGGTGAGAGTGCCGCCTATGGTCACAGAGCTCTTTGGTGGCAGACCAAGGCTGTGGGCTTCTGCCTTTTGACCACAGGCCAGCATCCTCCTCACCAGGCTGTGAAGGTTCTGGAAGCTGTGTCTGTCACACAGTTACCAACTGTAATAGATGGAGCCGGGGTGGCCTCGTGCACATGCTCACGTGGGACCAGCACGAAGCAGGTCTGTGGGGACGAAGAGCAGGACAAGCAGGCGTGCTGTGGGCCCGAGCACGTCTCACAGGGGCCGGCTGCTTTACAGAACGGTCTGTGGGGTCTGTGGGGTCTGGAGGAGGACCGCGGTAGAAGGGGAGGGGCAGGGGACAGACACGGGGCTGGAAAGCAGTGTGTGACTCTGAACGGGGAGGGACCCCGGTTATGGGAGGTTGGGTCACCAGGTCTTGGGAAGCCACTGTAGGCAAAATGCCAGCTTGGCAGATGAAAGAACGTGTCACGCACTAATTAAAGTAAAGAATGAAGACACTAATACTTATTTAGCCTCAGCTCTGCTCTGGGCACTCCCGTGGGCACCCTCACACCTTTTATCTTCTTTAATTAGCCCAGCCGCGGGCTGCAGACGCGGCCATCTGCGTATGATGTCTCCGTGAGACCGGCCTGCGTCACTGAGCAGGTGGCAGGGCGAGCCGCACCCCTCTGGCCACTGCCTGGGTGTCTCTTGTGAGCAGGCTTACCAGGAGCCAAGCTCAGGAGTGAGCCCAAGTCGCCCTTTACGGCTTTCAGAGCGCCCGCACTCAGCCTTCTCGGACGGGGGCTGGCATCATTTATCTCCTCCGTCATTTTTGCTGCTTCTCTCTGGACCTGATTTTATAGCCAAAGAAAAACGAGACAGATTCTTTTGCTTTTTATCTTTTCTGCATTAGGAGTCATTAGGCCAAGTGGCGGGGAGACCAGTGTTCCCAGGCTGGCATGGAAGCTCTCCCCCTTGCGGTCATTCCAGCCTGGAGCCCAGTCATGAGCTGTTGAGCTTCCCCAGGAGAGAATGCAGGGGGCTGAGGACCGCTGATGTGTGGGCGGCCGTGCAGGGAGGGGAGCGAGGACAAGAGGAGCCCAAGGAGTCCTTCCACTCCAGGAGGAGGGGTGGTCTATGGGTAGAGACCAGACTGCCCTCCCTGGGGACTCTGGGGAGGGCCGAAGGACAGTCGTCAGGGGTCTTCCTCTCGCTCCCAGCAGTCATTCTGGAGCGTGGTCCCCTAGCCACGTCGTGGCGGGCTGGGCAAGAAGGCGGCAGTGACTCCAGGCCTGTGCTGCCAGCAGAGGAGCAGAGTTTCAAGTCTGACCCCTTAGTTTATTTAGATGATTCTCAGAGTAGGAACCTCCTTTGCTCAGTCTAGGAAGCTGACCTGGAAACCCTCGGGGAAGTCATCCCTGTTATCATGAGACAAATGCTTTGAATGGGTGCTCAGGGCTGCTGCTGGAACTGGGTGAGGAGCTGGAGTGCTCGGCAGTGCGTGTTCCTGGGATGCCACTGCAGGCTGAGCTTGGCTTTGGGGAGCCCCGTTTTGAGGTCACACAGTGCTCCAGTGACCATGGCGGCATGCATAGGTGCCTGGACTTAAGGGCCTGGGGAAAGTGGGAACCTCCGTCCATTCTGCACTGGGCTTTGGTGTGGACGACTTTGGCTCTGGGGTCGTGGATGCATGCAGGGCTCCTCCAAGCCGAACTCCGCCATCCCCGCTCTGGCCCTCTACTTCTGCAAACTGGAGTCAGCCCTGGAGGACGAAGAGGCCCCAGGTCACGTCTGTGAGTGAGAAGCACATGGAGCGTGGTCTGGCAGGGGGACCTTTCAGGGTACCCCCAGCTCTGGTGGGGTGGAGGTACTGCCCCTCAGTGGAAGCCAGGTAGCCTCCTGGCGTGAGCTGGCATGCGTGCGTGTCTCAGAAGTGCAGGGTGCTGTCTCTTGGTCTCGTCTCACTCTCTCTCTCTCGGTCATGGAAGAAATAATTAAACTTTATGTTTTAATTTTAACTTTTTATTTGCCGTGTGCGCTCTCCAGAGATGGCGGGAGAAAGCACTCCCAGTGGGGAGGGTCACACCGTCGCTTCTCCCACCTCCATCCTGGGGGGAGCTTGGACATAACATGCACACATGCCCAAAGAGTTTGTCCAGCCACCAGGGCTGAGAGTCGACCTGCAGATGGCCATGTGGGACCTGGTTTCATCCACTACAGGCCCTGAGTCGGCCTCAAATAACCTTGAAATAAAGCAAACCCAAAGGAAATGCAGCCGTGTTGGCCTGCAGGAGCTGCTTGCTGTGGGGCGGCCTTCCCGTCCTCTTCCACGGGCCACCTGCTTGGAACCCGTCCTCCCCACTCCACAGAGCCCGTGGCGGTCTCGTGCTCCTTCATCACCTTCCAGGTTGTCTCCAGTAGAGGCCTGGCTCTGTAGGGCTTCCGAGGAGGGCCTGTGAGTCCTTACAGGCCTAATGCTCACACTGGCTGTCCCCTTGAAAGCTGTCGTAGGCGTGGACGCCGAGACCGTAGGGTGGCCGTGGGTGAGAGGC